AGCTGTTCCAAGTAAAGCTGCCTTTTGCAATTGACTGATGGTGATTTTGACACTGGCGATGGTCTTCAAGTAGAGCTCCAGATATTTTGGGATTGCACCCAAGGCGTCTATTACTATTACTATCTTTATTATTATATTTTATATATATAATATATTGCTATCTTTGCTTTCTTTTGTCACAGTCGCTCTATTTGCAGGTCTTTATATTTTATTATTTTCTCCAGTTCTTTCTCTTCTATTCTGCTGTCTCCAGGTATTGCAGTGTCCATCATCCAGACTTTTTTTCTGTCTTTTATCAACATTTGTTAAGTCTGGGGTGTTGGGTGGCAGGTGCTTGTCTGTTGGAATTCTAAAGTCCCAGAGCACTTTAGTCTACTAGATAGTTCTGGATTTGATACTTTGGACTATCAGATCCTTCTGAAGGATTGATATATTTATCACCATCATCACATCTCATTCACTTCTGAAATCAATGGGCCTGAAAATGTTAAATTTTTGCAGGCTAATGCTCATAGTTACCAGTTTAGTTTTAGACAATACTGAATTAATAGTCAGTCATTAAATTTTGGGACAGCCTTAAAAGCAATCTAGTTGTTCAAGCATAAATGTAAGAGACAGAAGTGTTAAGTTGCATTGGTTTAGCAATATCTTAGGTAAAATACTTTTCCTTATATGGGAAATCTTTTTACAGTGCTTGAAAGATTAAATGTAGATTGGTAGATCAGTAAAAGAATTTTTATTGCAAACTGTTTCAATATTTTTTAAAGAGGAAGTGTTATACAAATATTTTAAATTAAGTAAATAAGTAAAGGTCCATAAAAAAAAGTTTCCCAGAATACTTCAGCCTGTAGAAGTATTAGCATGTGGAATGCCTCCAAGCAGAATCACAAAGAAGAGTTTAAATTGCTTTCAAACAAAAAGGTAGAGCTCTCCTCATATTATTCCAGGCTCCTGGTGCCTGGAATAATATGGCTTGGGCTACTGGGAGTTTCAGCTGAGCAACATCTGAAAGGTCAAAGATTTCTCATCCCTGGCATAAGTCAACCTTATCCAAACAAGCATCCAGCAGATGTGTTAAATTTCAGTTGCCATGTTCTCTAACTCAGCATGACTATGAAGAAGTCACCAGATTGAGGAAGACTGCTCTAAAATATGTATGTTAATTAGTTTGCAATAATAAATCTTTCTGATGCAACCTTCTGAAGGATTCTGATGCAACCAAAGTTCAGAGTTCACACTTCGGCTTGACTTGAAATGGGCAGAAGCTATTCATTTGGAAAATGCTTTTTGTTATAAAGAATATGTCTTTGCTAGGGTAGGCTTACTCTTGATGGCAGCTAGATGGTTTCCTCTTCCTCAGTTTAATTCAATCTTACCATCTCTACCAGCATCTGAAGATCACTATTAATGGGCCCTGCATGGGCCTTGGTTTGTTGACTCAAGTACCCATTAGAGATGAGCTGATATTCAATCGAAGAGTTCATTTGTACTGAATAACCAGAGAGAAGCAGATATGTTATCATTCTGTGAGAGTAAAGTGGCAGCGTGAGGTCCAATCCATAGATACAAAGCAAGTAGGAATAGCTGGAGGAGTGGAAACAATGGCTGGCTTTGAGGACTGGCCATGTTCTTAGGAAATAAAAGTCTAAGAGATGAGAGAAGTCTAGGAGATGAGTTCAAAAGTCTCAAAAGGGAGGGCAGTAGAGTATGACACACTGTCCTAAAGGGAAAGGGATTGCTCTGAATTCTTATTTATAGGTAATTCAAGTGGCTAGTGATCAGTAGGGTTATTTCTTTCATTCAATCATTCATTCATTCAGTTTGTATGCTGCCCATCTCCCCCAATGGGTGACTCTGGGTGACTCATTTAAAGCCACAAGTTTTTACAGACCAATAATGTGAACCAGCAGGTTGCAAGGTGGCTTTTTTTGACTTCCCAGTTTAGCCCTTGGATTTCTTGATTGTCTCCCATCCAGGTACTAACCAGACCATATTAAGATGTAGACATTCCAAAGCAATTAAATGAATGACTGGTGTCATAAAGGAAGAACAAAGTTCTTTGTTATTGGTGAATTAAACATATTTTAAAAATAATGAATTAACCTTAGTTTTCATCTACTTGCTATATGCTGGCTGCTAGCCAGAGCTGTCAGTTTTGCAAAATCAGTAATCATGACTGTAAGATCTGATGTAGGTTAGCATACATTGTGGTTGACCCATTAGCTTTATTAAAGTTATATCAGCCTATGCAGGCCACTCATTAATGATTTTGTTTTTTCAACTGTCCTTGCTAACGTGTAAATCTGCAATCAGGAGGCTAAAGTCATTCAAAGATCTAATAGTGTCCCCAATGACATGCAGGCTTTTGTCACAAGAAGAGATAGCCCAAAGGCGTGAGCGTGTGAGGCAGCGGCAGAAGTTGGCAGCTGCTCAGGAACAAGAGTCGGCATCTGAAGGGACTGGAGGAAGTTTGATGGACCCAACTTTAGAGGCAGAAGAGAATCAAGGTAAGAGCAAAATCAGGATCGGTGCTGCCCTTTTTGGTGTTCTAAATAAAGAGTTATTTGGAATTCATTTCCTTCCATATGAATATCTAAAATGTGGAAGGGAAAGCAGGGCCCTTCTCCAGCCCTCTCCTCTGCTCTCCCAAAATCTTAAAGGCATGCTGTCTCATTTTCCCCTCATTCACAGAGTAGGTTTTCTGCAGTCACTTGCCATTCTCTCCCTTTTAGGTAAACAGAAAGATTAATTCTCATTGATAGCCATTTCAGACAACTTGCTAAGACATGCTTTCTAGCATCTCTCCATCATGGACTGTACTGGCTATAGCTGCTAAGAGTTGCAACTAAGGGACATCTGGAGGGCCACAGGTTCCCCACACCTGTCCTAGACATTTTGTAGGTAGCAGGCTGCCTTCAGAAAATAGCTACAGAGATGTTAGTTAAGAAACAGGATGAGAGGCTCAAGCTTGGGGCTCATAAAAACCTTGGTGGTTTGGGGTAAGATGGAGGCAATCTGAAATGAAGACCATCAAAATGAATGGGAAGGTTAAGTGAAGTTCCCCCAAACTTTGTGGGCTCTTTGCTGAAATGTTTCTGTCAGAGGAAGGAAAAATGCATTATCGTAAGAGTGGAACTTGAAAAAGCTTTTGAAATATGGCCTTCTTGCCTTGATAGAGGCTGAAACCCAAAGATATGAATGATTACTCCATTAACTTGCTATAGTTCTGATAAAAACCAAGGAGGTCGTATGGGCAGATTTAACAAGATCTTTATTTGCACTGTCAAAGTCAAGCACTTCAGCTCTTTCAGTGTGACCACTTAGAACAGTGTTTCCCCAGCTTGGCAAGTTCCAGGTGTGTGGACTTCAACTCCCCGAAATCCCCTCAGTGGCCATGCTGACTGTAGAATTCTGGTTATATTTCTTGCAGTATTTAAAAGAAGATGAAATTATAGCACATCAAATATAAAACAATGATAAAAAATAAAATAAAATGTATACAGAAAAGCCTGAAGCAATTTTATTTTGTATTTATTTATTGTATTTATATAGCCGCCCATCTCACATAAAGTGACTCTGGGCGGTGTATAATTTATAGTATAAGGGAGGCAAGCCACAGCTATTGTTAAAAATTTAGCAATCTTACTAGAAGTAGCTGAAGTTTGATCACCTAGGAGAAAAATGGTAAAAATAGAGGGCACTCTGGCAGTACGTGTGAAACGGATTCAACTTCTGTATCAGATTTGAAGTCCGCACATCTGGAAATTGCCAAACAGTGACTTAGAGGCTGCTGGCAGCAGTTCCCTTCTAGTCATAAGTTCTCCCTGTGGTCCAACTGGCTTTGGAAACGTTGCAGGATATATAAATACATTGTGATGGTGTGTCAGCAGCTGAATCTGGCACATGGCAGTGAGCTGCTAGAAGTAAATTTGGGTAGCCTGTTTTCTCTCCAGCAAGCCTTTGAAGTGGTTGTGAGAACAAGCTCCTTTTGTTTTACGGAGCAGATGGTTAATGGTGCTTGCCAATAATTTTGTCTTTTTGTTTCCCACGTTGCATCTTCCTGGATACTTATTTGTGACTGAACACTGTAAAATTCATTTGCAGTACACATGAGGAAAGAGAAATCTACTTTGCCTCACATTATTGTGGCGGCAATTAAATGTAGGCACTAGGATGTCACTGGTCCTGTACCAAATTTGCTTCTCTTTATTGATTTGGCTACAGGTACATTGGAAATTGTAGAATTATATTGTTGTAATGTCCTTGTTGTGGATGGACTATCTTCTACCCAAGCTTAAATCAGGTTTTATTTTTCAGGAATTTTTTTTAATTTAATATCTTTATTTTTAACAAAATCTTTAATTTTACCAAAAAAAAAAACACATACAAAAAATCAAACTAAGAAGGAAAAAATGTCTTATATTTTATATTTATTTATATATTATATATTGATATATATTAATTTATATTTTATACTTATCAGTAATTACTGGTTTACCAGTGAATTCACTAATATAATATAAGCAGTAGAAGTTATTATTGTAAGTTATCTATTATTTGCGAGATTCTGTCTAGTTGGTGCAAGCTTATAAAGGAACTGGCTGGACTGGATTGCCTCGTTGTCGTTCTTGGGCTAGGCCTGACACATGACCATATCATGTGTGTCTGTGAGCCCTCAAATTTCTTATACCTCCAGCATAAAAAATCTAATCGCCATCCCTTCAAACACATTCTTTGGAGAGTCCAATGTACCCTAAATGCAATTTTAAAAAAAATCAGGTTAATGAAAAGCTTCCCATTGGCCAGCATGCCTTAGGTGGAAAGGGTATCTTTTCACAGTAGGGGTTTGGGGATCCAAATATGCAGCCCTTTTTATGCTAGTGATTGTGGCTGGATATTAGAGTGTTTCTTTGTTTCCTTTAGTAGTATTGTATGTACTCTCATATCTAGTACATAAACATGGAATATTATTCCTCCATCAGGGGATAACTGGCTGCCCGCTACTCAGTCAGAGACCACGGCTGCTGGGAAACAAGAGCCTGAACCTAAGGAAGTTTTCATTGCTTTTGCAAGGGTGTTCAGTGGTGTTGCAAAAAGGGGGCAGAAGCTCTTCGTCCTAGGACCAAAATATGATCCCATTGAATCACTGCACAAGGTAAGCTGCAGAGATACAATGCATACCTAAGCTTGCCATATTAGGGCAAAGTCAGCTTTTTCCCACCTTTTAAAGAATGACTGAACATTAAGAATCCATGTTATTTGTGATGACTTGGATCTACATCAGGAGGGTACTGTCTTCCCAAGGGCCACCCTATTCTTTGCACAACATGCTGAGGGCAACACTTCCAAAAGTAGGTGAAGTCAGGCCCTGTTTTGAAAGGAAGTTTGGGGGGTTGTAAGGGGTAAAATGGGTGTTGAGCCTCTGGAAGATGTAAAACATTCCTTTTTCCTTTTCTCCCTCCGCCCCCCAAAATATTTGCTCAGGGGTTCCCTGCCCATGACAGCATCTAGCTATCTTGGGTGATCTCAAAGAACTAAGCAAGATTAGGCTGGTTAGTACTTCAGTGGGAAACCACCAGGATATTCTCCCCCCAGAGATGCAGCAGGCCCCTACCCTCCTGGCTTTCAGGAAAGGATTAAAGACCTGGCTCTGTCAGCTTGCGTGGGGTGACAACGATCTTATCCAATCCTGGGGGTAGCTGGTGCCTTGATGACGCTCCCTGAGTGACTGCCAATTTTATATCTATCGTTGGATCTATTTATTTTCTATTTATTTAAGATTATTGTATGTTGTAATTTTAATTGATTTTAACCATTTTGTAAACTGCCCAGAGTTGTTTCAACGAGATGGGTGGTGACAAATTTGATATATATAAATAAATAAATATTCCAGGGCTGTAAAATAGATTGAGAAATTGAAAAAGCATCTCCAGATAAGGCAGTGGCCAATCACTTTCATATTGCTTTCCAAGGAAGTGACATGTATATATCCAAGATGTTCGTCATGGGTTGAACTTGACTTGAAAAAAACGTTAATGTTACATCCCTCACTTGCAGAATTTCTCTCTTCTCCTGCATAGGAGCAAGAATAAAATCTACTGTTATGTTTTAGACATTTAGGTGAGCTTTAATTAATGCTTATGGCTTATCTGAATGTTGACAATATTTCTTTTTCTCTTGCAACTTGGAATAAAAACTCAGGAAATACACTTGTTTGTTCTTACATTCTTCAATGTAAACTAACCTGCTTTGGGAAAAACTACAGATAGTCCTTGACTTATGACCATTTGTTTAACGACCGTTCGAAGTTATGACAGTGCTGAAAAAAGCAACTTATGACTGGTCCTTGCATGACCAAAATTTGGGGGCTTTGCAACCGGCATGTATTTACAACAGTTGCAGCATCCTGTGATCACGTGATCGCCATTCGCGACCTTCCCAGGGGGCTTCTGACAAAGAAAGTCAGTGGGGGAAGCTAGATTTGCTTAATGACTGCATGATTTGTTAGTGACCACAGTGATTTTTTTTAACAACTGCAGCAAAAAAGGTCGTAAAATCAGGTGTGACTAACTTAATGACTGCATCATTTAGCGATGGAAGTTCTGGTCCCAATTGTGGTCATAAGTTGAGGACTGCCTGTATGTTGAAGTCTGGTAGGAAACAATAATCATTGAGTGACTAATTTTTTCTCCCCTTTAGCTTCCTCTGGGATGTTCTGCTGCTGATGCTCTGCCATCAGTGCCTCATTTAGCTTGCTGCACATTGGAAAATCTCTATTTATTAATGGGTAGAGAGCTTGAGGAATTAGAGGAAGTGCCTTTGGGAAATGTGCTTGGTAGGTGAACTTACTTTTCTATTGTATCTTCCATGATTATCCCATATACAAGATATACCGTATTTTTCCGTCAATAAGACGCCCCCATGTACAAGACGACCCCCACTTTTCCAACCCAAAATTAAGAAATCAGTATT